ATTTCGGCCTTAAAGTTAATGTGCCAAATTATTTTACACTAGAAGAATTTGATTCAGAGAAAACGTATGTCCCTGTGCTTCCCTAGTCCCTCGTCTAAATTTTTGGATCTTTAATTAGTCTCTACTTCTATTAAGTTTCCATTTAAGAAGCTTCAGTATGTTGACTACCTAGTTCTCAATTTTTTAAATTTTCATTTCAAATTTTTCAGTCCCTCTCTGAAAAGTATTCTAATGTGGTGTTCCTTGAAGTAGACGTGGATGACTGTCAGGTACGTAGCTGGAAATTTTGAGATACTACTGAGCTTTTCACGTTGACCTTTTTTTCTGAATTGCATAGTGTATCTTTTTTATAAATATGTCAAGTAATGCTATAACTCTGTCTAAAAAGTTCTGTTTCAGAAGAACAGGTAATTGTGTCCAATGAGGAGCTTAATCATAGATGTTGGGAGCTGAGTATATCTCATCCTAAAATAAACACTAAAACAGATGGATGGGGCTTCTGTATCTGATTAGCCACCCATCTTTCTAGAATCCTACATTCTACCTAGCATTCTGAGGTGCCCAATAAATAGAAATTGAATTTGGCTGTGATAATTAAATCCATAGATGATGGGATCACCAATCATGAGACCACTTTTAGAGTTCTTTGTGAACTTCTAATGGCATGGGAACGTGTGTTTGCAAGCCTTTTCTAGTCGTGGTTGATTTTAGTCCATTAGAAACCCAAATGTTTTAACCTGTAAATACCAAGATGCCTGAGAGAGAGCTGAGAGAATAATTTGGGGGAAAATCCCAGGGTTGGTTTTATTTAACAAGTACTTGTTTTGCACTTGATATATACCAGGTACTGTTCTATGTGTTTCATAAGTATCAATTCATTGAATCCTTGGTGCTATTGTTATCCCCATTTTATAGATGAGAAAACTTAAATACAGAGGGTTGGTTGTTCCTGGAGTTACAGTGATTTAAAATGAGGATGTTTGGCTTCCTGGCCTTTGCTCTTCATCACCACCCTTTAGAGGATGCTGTCTTATGGTGGTTGCAGATCAGGTTCTTAGCACATGACCTTGCCTCTCACACAGCCCACTGGCCTGGGAGAGCTTATGCAGGATGTATCGCCTCGTATCACCTTGGGGTTCTTTACGGATGCATGAGCATTTCGCTTAGCCCCAGTGTGGCAGAGGCCTGAGGAGGGTAAGACATGGCAACAGAGGCACTGGACCTGGGTTCCAATCCTGGCTCACTGGCGTCTGCTTTAGGCTAATCTCTCATTTTCCTTGAGCTTGGTCTGTGATCAGATCTTAATACCTGTCCCATCAATCTTCCAATGTTGTTTATTCATTTGGCAAATAGTCTATTAAAGGTACTGAAGGGTTAATTAAAACAGGTTTGTGGCAGTACCAGCTAACCATATGAGACCCTAACAACACCACATTGCTTATTCTCAGCACATTCTCTAGCTCATGCCTTGGAAGGCTCCTGCCTTGGCTTGGGCTGTCTTCTCTACCCGACCTATCCTTTTCTTCCCTACTTCCCTAGTCATAAGCTTCCATTTTCTGCAATAACCCTTCTCCAGTCACCCCCTTTTATGCACCCGACTAGGTTTGTTTCCCTTTGTCTGTTTCCCCATGATGTTCTTGGCCCCCTCTCTGCCTCTTGCATGTATAGTGATGAAGTGGGATGGATCCTTGACCTAGATTGCCTGCTTTATTTCCCAGTTCTGGCGCTTATTAGCAGGGCAGTCTTGGTTATTTATCTTTTCTCTGCCTCAGTTTCATCCTCTGTGAAATGGCAGTGTTACTCAAACATCCTAAGGTAGTTGTCGGGATTAAGTGAGATATACGTATAGTTGTTGGGATTAAGTGAGATATATGTGTAAAGTGTTCAGACCAGTGCCGGACACATAGTTACTACCCGGTGAGTCTTGGCTATTGTTAAATGATCTCTGTGTCTGCCCTTTACCATGATCCTCAGTAAATTTCTTGGCATCAGGGACCCTGTCTGATTCACTTTGGTTTCCACTTCACCTAGCACACCTGCCTGGCATGTAGTGTAGATATGTAGTGAATGCGCGAAGGTTGTATGGTTAAGTGAAGTTACCATTCCCAGATTTTTTTTTTAAGTAAGAGTATAATTGCACTTTTGCGAAAATAATCCTTGTTCCCTGTTTTAATCAAATGTAAGCCTTATTTTTTCTATATGGTCACTTTAGCCAGGGGTGAATTACAGTTGGACTAAAGAAATTAATTCTGACTGCCACTGACCCTATCAAATAGCAACTTGTTTTTTATTTGAAAGTAATAACATGTGCTAGATGCCGTGGCGTAAGCCCTTTGCGTGAGTTACATCATTTAGTCCTCATGTAACTAAGAGAATGGTTTTTATTAGCATCCCACTGAACAGGTAATGTGACTGCAGCACAGAAGGTGAAGTAGGTCCATCGAGGCAGAGCAGTGCACCCTTCTCTTCAGAGGACAGGTGCTCTCTCAGCCTCAGTCGCAAACCTTAGGGAAGTACAGTCATGCATCGCTTAATGACAGGGCTGCGTTCTGAGAAATACATAGGTGATTTCAGCGTTGTGTAAACATCATAGTGTGCACTTGCACGAACCTGGATGGCATAGCCTATTACACACCTGTGTGATGTGGCATAGCCTATTGCTCCTAGGCTACCTGTACAGCATGTTACCATGCTGAATACCGTAGGCAGCTGTAACACAATGGTGAGTATTTGTGTATCTAGACATACCTAAGCATAGAAAAGGTATAGTAAAAATACGGCGTTAAGGTCTTTTTTTAATGGCACATCTATATAGGGCACTTGTTACGAATGGAGCTCAAAGGAGTGGAAGTTGCTCTGGGTGAGCCAGTGAGTGGTGAGTGAATGTGAAGGCCTAGGATACTACCGTATGCTTTCAGACTTCGTAAACACTTAGGTACACTAGATTTATTTTTTAAACTTTCTTTTTTCAACAATAAGTTCACCTTAGTTTACTGTGACTTTGTTTACTTTCCGAACTTCAATTTTTTTTAACTTTTTGACTCTTGTAGTAACAGCTTAAAACACAAGCACATTGTATATCTCTGCAAAAAATATTTCCTTTACATCCTTATTCTGTAAGCTTTTTTCCTTTTTTAAGTGTTAAAAACTAAGACGGAAACATACATGTTAGCCTAGGCGTGCACAGGGGCAGGATTGTCAGCATCGCTGTCTTCCACCTCCACGTCGTGTCCCTCGGGAAGGTCTTCAGGGGCAGTAACCTGCATGGAGCTGACATCCCTTATGATAACAATGCCTCCTGGAAAACCTCCAGAGGACCTATAGCACATAGTTACAGTGCTATACTTTTTATATAATTGCAGCGCAGGTTTACTTACACCAACTAATGCATTGTGCTATGAAATTAAGTTACTAGATGATAGGGATTTTTTGCTCCATTATAATCTTATGGGATCACCGTTGTATATGTGGTCCATCGTTGGCTGAAATATACTAATGCAGCTCGTGACCGTGGATATGCAGAGCAGTCGAGGACTTGTGTATGACAGAGCTTCTCCTTCATGTCTGCTTGGGGCACTCTCCTCATCACCCTGAAAGCATCTTTTGTAACCCTGAAGTGACCCTTTAACAAACTGGGGATCTTTAACTTTGCCTCCATATAGTCATAGAAAAGTATGAGTGCTAGCCCTTTTCAAAGAGATAGACATCTTATTTCTTGGACAGCCAACAGGTTATGATACTTATTTTGTGAATTAAAACAAGAAAC